CTGCATTGGATTCCACACATCTTCATCAGCCATCATCATTTTACAAAGGTAGTTGCCATCTCCATCAGTTCACCATCCACTCTGCAAATGTCCACATCTTGGGCCAATGCTTTACTCTACAGTATCTGGTGGCAACATAGGCCAGCAAATACATCCAGCAGGCACCTACCCTCTGGTGTGCCAAGAACCCTGAGGCTATGGAAAGCAGTCAGAGCTGAGGGCATCATCTGGATTGTCTTAGGAGACATGTCCACACCCAGGTTTTTATCTGTAGTGTAACTTGCAGTACATAGCATCAGTCTATCTCCTCTCCAATTTCCCCTTCCTTACAGTTGCATACCCCCTTTCACTTCTACATTGATGCACCTGGCCTACCTCAACTGTTATCACATCACTAGTGAGTGTGTGTCATCATTCATTAACCCTACCTATTCACATAGCCCTAGCCTCAGTATAGAGGATCCAGTGTCCACAGGGGAAGAAATAACTTCGTCAAATAGGCATGATGATTGGATCCTCAGGGTAGTCAAGGCATAACTCTCAGAATCCATCACTAGAACTGCTGAGTGACACAGCGTAGCTAAATAGTAAGTGGGAGGGAATTCTAAGGGAGCGTGGGGTGTCCATGCAAATAAAACCTGATATAGGTTGGTGGAGGCTCTCTGCCATCAGGTGACCCAGGGAACCAGGCTGCCTCTAATCCTTTCACTCAATAGATCTGCCCATTCAGATCATCCTACAATTTCAGGCTGGTAACGATTATTGGCAGATTTCCAAAACCAGTTCATGGAAGTTATTCAGGCCCTCTATCAGATTCTCTGCCTTCTCTCCTTCTGGTTCCTTCTCTACCTTATGCTGAGGATCCAAACCCCTGACTGCCAGCTGCTTTGGGCTCTGTGGACTTAGTTTATCATATGGTCTCTCTCACGGATTCTGGAAGTAGCTCTCCCCCTGAATCCTACAGATGCTCGTCACAAACTGAAGGTGGCTTGTCTGGAACCATTTCCTGACACCTGGTCATTTGGACCAAATCTTTTCCTCTCAAAGTAAAGGGAAATGTTACATCAACATTTCAGAATTTCAAGGCACGCCCAAAGGGATTCTGGTACTCGAAGACATCACTGCAGAAATCTTCCTTTATAGGAGAAGGGAATTAAGTTAATTTTCTGCTCAACCAAATAAGACAAAAGGAAACAAATTAAGATCACAATGAGATAATATTTTTACCCCAAAGTTTAACCCAAATTTAAGTTTATGAAATAATATGCAAATGAGGGTACAGGGTGTCTACATATTTTAATTTGTGGTAATGTGAGTCAGTAGAGCATTTTTTGATGAAATTTTAGCAATAATTATAAAATTTTGCCACCATCACACCTTCTCTACTTTAACCCTATTTCTGCTTTGCTATGTTTTCCCTATAAGAAACCATGCATATTTACCCCAAAATTCATAGTCAAAGGTATTAATTTTGGTTCTATTCATCATAACAATAAATGGGAAACAACTTATGTGTCTATCAGAAGGAGAATGATTAATTGTGGCTCATGCAACTTTACAATTCTAGAAAGTAGCTTAAAAAGTGAGGTGGATCTATACCTGCTGTCATAAAAAGATTCTGCATTCATTTCATTAAATGAAAAGAACAAGGGACACAACAATGTATACACCGTTACCCATGTATGTTAAAACCTCAATATATTTTCATAGCACATCTATGGTATAAAAAAGCCTTGAGTCAGCTTTAAAATGACACACATCAGATTATTAATTGTGGTTACTTTCGAAAAAGGGGGCTGAATTTTGGAGGAATGTTGGGAGGGAGGAGATTGTGATTTATTGGTATTAAATTTTTTTCCAACAAGAATATGCATACCACCACTAGCTTTGTGAAATTATTTTTAATAGGCCTAACAATAGAAATAGCAGTTGTGTATTACTCAAAGTAACTGCTAACTGATGCAATAGAAAAAAAAAAAAACCCTGAAATGTGAATGGGTTAACACAACAAATGTTTATTTATTGTGCACATAAAAACTGATGTGGGTTGACAGTGACCCAGGGAACCAGGCTACTTCCATAACCTGGTTTAGCCTGGAACCAGGCTACTTCCATACCCTGGTTTAGCCTGGAACCAGGCTATTTGCATACACAAGGTCACATCTAATTTTTAAACTCCACACCCCAATGTGGGTTCTCCATGTTTGCTGCTCACTGGAAGATAAAGCACGGAGATGGCTGACTGGATCTCAGTGCCTTGGCTTAGAGGTGACAAACATGCTTTTACTCATATTTCAGTGGCAAGGGTTAGTGAAATGATCCTTTTTAACTATGAATAGACTGGGAATGTAGTCTCTCCATGAGCCTGGAAAGGAGAGCAGGACCTCATGTGGGTAAACACTTGTCATCTCTCCCCTAAGCTGGTACATAATAGATGTTCATTGAAGAGCAACTGTTAAAATTGGTTGGGACAATAACACTTTTCATTTCTTAGAGGAATTTCTAAGCAGGCCGAATTTGCCTTGAAATTTGCAACATTTTTCTAGTGTCTACTATATGACAGATGTTTTCAAACACAAGGTCACATCTAATTTTCAAAATGACCCTGGAAATTTCTATGAGGAGGATGGGTCCTTTGTCAATCAATAGCACCTTTCGGCACAACTCTTCATAATAACCTGCATACTTTTAGTAGGTTGAGAATTTTCTCCTACCTTCGGCAGATGATCAAATCATAGCTACCCACCACCTACTTAACATGCCCAAACACCTGAGCAGTTACAATGAAGCACACTGAAAAACCACTATGTTCTTCTGGGGCAGATATAGATAAGAGTAAATTGAAGGACATTTAAGTTATGTTTTTCTTTTTATTCAAAGTTGGCATGTCTGCTAAGGAACAATTTTCCATCTCTGAGAAGGACTCCAAGAAAGATTTTTAGGGATTCGGCCACAGTAGATGTTTGCTTAGACAGTGATTTCCTCTGTCCTTCCTTATCTACCACTTAAGAGGGAGGCTTTGGATGTTGACCACCTAGGTAAATTCACTCATTGGTGTATGTGTTCAGTGGCCAGTCTCAAATAAAATACTCTATTAAAATCCTACTGCAAATATCAGAGTGGCTTAAAAAAGCCTCTTCTCTAGACTTAGGGTTATAAGCCAAGAAACAGTAGATTCTTTGCTAAATCAGTAGATTTAAACACTTTGACAGTGTGGTGGAAGCACCCAGAAACATGAAGAGGTGTCTAGGCTTCACTGTTGGAAGTGAACAATTACACAAAAGGGGCTGCTGCTGTCAAAGGGCATCTGTGGTGAGGGGTGAGACCTCCAAGCAGTTGGAACCCTCTGTGTCAGGGAAAACGCAGGTGAGTCTGAGCTGTCTGTTTCTCTGGGAGCAGGTGCAGTTTCCAGAGAAAGACGCAGTGAAGCTGACCAGCAGGTCAGTTCCAGTTTGGACAGCGGGGTACAGTGGTGCCGACCCCAGGGAAGGGCACAGTAATGTGGGAAAGTGCTTGACTAGACTTATGTGCTGGGCCCAGGGCAGAGTCAGCTCTAGAGGAACCCGAGGGCTAGAGGTGGGCGGGCCCCAGGCCAATGAACCCCACAGACAATCCAAAACTTTTTCATTTTCATCTTCCTTCCACTAATAGGCCTGCTTTTAGTACTTTGGTCACAGGGCACTTGTTATCATTTGAGAGATATTGTGGAATAGTCAGAATTAAAGAGACAGTTTGGTCTCAGATTGTGATAAGTAGAACAGTGTGGGCCCTAGAAACATTTAGACCAGGAGTTTTGTCCCAGCTCTGTCACTTACCAGCCATGTGAACTTGAGAAAGTTGCAAATTTTTCATCTACTAAGTTTGATAAGTCCCATGTTGTAGGATTTTTAGAAGACACGTAATGTATGTAAGGCAACTGGCAAAGTGACTGGCAAATATTGGGTCTTTAATGAATGGCAGTTATTACTATGATTATATTCACACAAGAAGAGACTACTCTCGTCTCTGGGAAAGTTTTGTTTTGTGCAGGAATTGTCAGAGAACATGCAGTACTCTAAAAAACAATCACCAAATGAGCCAAAATGCTGCTAAGCAAGTAACGCTATGTAAATTCTCCCCATGAGAGAATATGTTATTTTATATGGAAGCAAGGACTTCATCAGAATTCAACTCAAAGCTTATAGAGTTTATGTCAGGGACCAACTCCCTGCCCTCTGATATTCCCTTCCTATGAAAACATTATTTTTACTTATTTCATCACCAATGAGATAAAGCCCTATCTTGGAGTTTTGTCAAATTATGCACAAGAAGACCTAATTAATACAGTAGGCTCTGGCTGCACAACCTTAGGGAAAACAGTGTTAGCTTAGTGGCTTCTTGGCATCTCACCTCAAGAAAATATAACCCTTATTTCTCAAACACTCTTCAGAGACAATGTGCATAAAACAACTAGTTTGTGTACTGTGTTTGACTGCCCTGGGACAGGAGCACTGTATTGTTCCACTCCTACCCCAGACACAGGATCTATCTCCTTTACCCACAATCCCAAAATAACTGTTAAGGGCAGTTTCCCTTTCTAGGCTTAGCCTCCCAATTCCAACGCTCATGATCTGAAGGTTTTGCACCTTCTTATGATTATCACAACCTCACCCAGTTCACCATGAAGCGAACTTAAAATGACCTCCCAATGAGGGACTTGTATTGTCCCATACCACCAAGTGCCTTGGCTAAGGAAATTTTCACTTGACTGCTCTTATCTGAACCTTCTCCCACCATCCTCACTTCTTTTATCTGTTTTTGTATGCATGCTTTTTATGTAAAAAAAATCTGGACATGTAGAGTATATCTTGCCATCTTCCTTAAATAACTGTCCTTAAGACTAAAAATCTGTGTGCAAAGAAAGGGTCTTCTTTAAACAATCACTACTATCACAGAGCCTTACTAAGAGCAGATGCTCAATTTGCGATGAGAATAAATGAGCCACTGAACAAGGAACATAATTATTACTATTTATTTGCATTCTTGAAAAGCTTAAAGACAACCAGGTGTATATCTTTGGATTTTACAAAAGCAAAGTGAATGAAGAAAACAATTGACATGGTTTGTTTACTCTTCCTCTATTTTACGACTCCAATTATGTTGTGTAAGGTTCTTTCACACATTTCTGAGAAAATCTCTGACACTATGCTTTCTTCTTCTTGAACCCAAAAATGATTCAAGGATTTCAAAATGTCTTACAGAATATCAAAACTCTTATGCTTAAATCTGGCAACACCAATAAATGTGGAATCCATGTCATTCGTAGACATAGATTCCAACTCTAAATAAACATGCTATTTAAAGGAAAACAGTTGAAAGATACTAATGTTTAACAGGAACACAAAGAAGCTATATATCATGATCTCTCTAACTCTATCTTGGTTTCTCACTACTTTAAAATGTTGGCATCTTGCCTCAAAAACAAAGTGAACAATCTACCTTAGTTTTCACATGCGGTGGGAGAGCCTGCTCAATCTGGCTCTAGTACGCACAATAGCGCGACGCCTGGCTGCAACACTGGATAGAATGCGGGCTCTCTCTTCCTCATCTCTCAAAGCCTCTTCAAAATAGTGTGGTAAGGCACGGGGGGTGGTACCATTCACCTTGGCCAAAAACTCGAGAACTTTCATCTTGGTGGTTTCAGCATAGGCTCTTGTACCCCACAGGAATTGATAGCATGGGGGATCACTGTTGGGCACCTGCTTGTACTCCACATATTTTTCCTGCACCAGATCTTGGGTGATGAACTTCCGGGGTTCCCCATAGATTATGTGCTCCTCTCCATCATAGGCTCCCAATGTATTCATGAATTTCCAGACCTCTTCCTCAGTGGCAGAGTTGCCACTTAAGAAGATCACACCCAGGAGAGGCATCAGAAGCCCGTTCCTGGGAAATTCCCAATCACCACTCAGGTTTCCATCATTGGTGAAGTTTAGCTTGCTGGTGAGGGTGTAGGTGTGGCGACGGGGGTTGTTTTCCTTCAAATCAAGGCCAAAGACCAGCTCCAAGCGGTCAGAGGCTCTCTTGAGGATCTCAGGGAAGTGACCCTTGTACTTTTCATCAACAAACTTCAGCATGATTGCCTTCGTAATGGGCTGCTTCCTTTTATACTTATCTAGCAGGAAATGCATCAGCAGTCCTGCCTCTCCCGTTATAGGATCTTTGATTGCACTCCCAGTGGATGTTGAGGTCTGGGAGAAACCTGCATTTTCCTCACTTTGGCTCTTGGCGCCTTCATCAGATTTGGTGCATGACATAGCTGCAGCAGCAGTGGTGGTGGGTAGGACTCCCTGAGGCTCCTGGGGAATGCCAGCAGCAGGGGAGCTAGTGGAAGTATCCCCTAAATCAGGAGAGGAGGAGGGGCACTCCTCTTTCTCTGCTGCAGTGGCTTGAGCGGCCTTGAGACCCTGGGTCTCCTCTCGTGCCTTGCGGCGTTTCTCACGAGCACGGAGCTTACTCTTTTGACCCCGAGGCATGATGGCTGTTGTCAGGCACAACAGGCAGGAGGGTGGGCACAAGGGCAGGAAATGTGGTACCTGGAGAAGAGAATGAGATCCTGTGAGCACTTGCAGCAGGGAGGTATTATCTTGGCTTTTAGAGAGCCACCTCCACTGGTTTCCTTGAGAGCACTGCTCTAGGAACTCACTAGGATCTTGTTGCCAATCCTGCCTGGGGCTGACTGGGTGAGAGCAGAGACTGGCAGTGTAGACTCCCTCTGTGTCCAAGGGCCCTCTCAGTTCATATACAGTATCTTCATATCTATTCTTGGAAGGGCCTGGGACCACCTTCTTGCGCTGCTCTAAAGCTGACACTTCAAAGCTCCCTGGAATCCACCAAAGACAAATGAGGCACTGCCTCAGTCCACCATCCCTGCTGGGGACTAGACGGGGTGGCAGTGCTGACAGTTCTGTGGGACCCTCTCTGTCCTGGGCTAGCTGGACCTCAATCTTCAGTCAGAGTCCTCATCTCATCTAAAGCTAAGGTCTGAGAACCTCTCTTCTGCTGACTGGTGCTGCATCTTTAGAACTAAGCTCTCACCTCCCTTAGAACTGATGCAAAGAAGTAAAAAGTCTCAGCCTGACAACTCTGGGCCAGGGCCTTTGAGAGCTAAGTGCATGGACAGGGCTAGCGTCATTGCTTTTCCTCTATTTGAGGTATGGGTTGGGGGCTTGGGGGAATGAATGGTACCTTCATTCCACACCCATGGCCCATACTTTGACTCCCAGAAGGGCCTATGGCTCCGTTCTCTCTACACCTGAGGACATTTACTCATAGTAAGGCCTACATCTAACTGAGACCCAGGGGAGGAAATGAGGGTGGCTGTATCTGGCCACACTGCCCATATTCTCCAGAGGCTGAAAGCTGTGGTGGGCAAGTTGAAGCCCTGTGATGTGTAGCCCCACTTATGGTCCTTGCTCAAGGTCTCCAGTTTGACACTTGGGAGGGCCTAAAATGCTTCCCATTCCTCCTGCTAACCCATCTGACTAAGACCTTCATTTCTCTGTTAATCTTGAAGAGGAATTTAGGGGCACTTCTGACATTTATGCTTGTGGCTTCCTAGGGCTGACATAAAGAGGGACTCTGAGGGATCCACACTGATGAGGTGGGAGTTCCCTCAAGTCTTCTATATGAGACCTGACACAACCTGGAGATTCTCCCTCTGGTGACCTGAGACCCCTTGCATCAGATTAAGATTTTCATTTCCTCATAATCCCAAAATGAAAGAAAGCATGAGTCACATCCAGTCACCCTGTCATCTATGGGGATCCAGTGTTCTGGGGTTGTTGTTCTCTTTGTCTTCACTCAGGTAGAATCTAAGCTCCTCTCTAAGCCCACTTGATTCTTCCAGCCTCATACAAATGCCTTCACCTCTCTCGAGTACCCAGGGCCAGACTTGAGAGGATGACACATCTGGCTACTTCTGCCTGGGGTTTCCCAGGGCTGAGAGGGGGTGGAACTTTGTGAAGCCCCACTTTCTGGGTCAGTGCTCATCTTATTCCTCCCTCAGTGTCTTCTCTGTTTTGATCTAATGCCTATTCAGTCATACAACCCCCCGCCTCAACTCCCTGAGGAAGAAGTGAAATATTTCTCATCTGGCTACAAATGCCCATTGGTCTCCCAAGTCTGAAAATCAGGAAGGAATTCTGTTTCTTTCACTGTTATGGGATGAGTGGTTCCCCCAGTTCTCAGGGTCTTCTTCTTGACTCCTGGAATTACCTGGGAATCCTCTAGTTGCTAGCACAAGGCTGCCCCCTTTAATGAAGTTCTTCACTTCCCTGAGATGCTCTAGGAAGAAGTGAGTGAGACTCATCATGTCACCATACCTGGATCTCCCAGGTCTCATAGTGGGGATAGGGCTCTAAATGGGTTACTTCTTTCTTGGAGGGGTCCCCTCATACTTTCTCAGTTTCACCATTTGTTAGGAACTGGGCCTCCTCCCTGTACTAAAGAAGGGCTTTCATGTTAAACCAAAGCCATTATGTACCTGAAATAGCCCCTGAAGGAAATGAGGAGAATTTCAACTTGAGAGCTCTAACCCTGGCTTCTCAGGAATGAACGCTGAGGTAAGACTTTGTGCATTCCCACCTGTTCTGGACTAGGTGGTTACCTCATTCTTCATACAGAATTTATACCCTGACACTTGTCACAGCGTATGACTCTTATCTCTCTACTGAACCAGAGCAGCGAGGCCTTAAACCAATGTCCTCCTCTCTCTAAGCCCCTGAAGGCAGAACAGGGAGTACTTAAGCTACCAGCTCTGGCCTGGGACTCCCAGAGACAGCATCAGGTGCGGCTCTGTCCCTTGTGTATTGAGTAGCCCCCATTTCCTCACTCAGGGTCTCCACCTCCACTCGGCACTCCTTCTGGGACTCCACCCATCACATGGTCCTGAGACTATGCCCCGTAGACAAAGGTCCTCATATTCCTTGGACCTAAGTTCACAATCATAGCGAGCCACATCCCGCCAAGGCTGACTGGGGCCTGCACGTGCAAACAGCAGGGGCGGGACTTTTGGCCCCACTGTTCTGGAGTCTTCGACTCCCTCAGTCGTCACACAGAACTTTGTCCATGACTCCTAGTAGGGTTTAAGACTCCTCTCGCCATAGACCTGAGTCTATATGCCTTATACCAAAGCTCTCATCTCCCTGAGTCGCCGACTCCCTCAGTCGTCACACAGAACTTTGTCCATGACTCCTAGTAGGGTTTAAGACTCCTCCCGCCATAGACCTGAGTCTATATGCCTTATACCAAAGCTCTCATCTCCCTGAGTCGCTGAAGAGACAGTCAAGTTACTACCCACTGGTTACCTAAAGCCTCCCAGGACCAAATGCAAAAGCGGGACTTAATGGGGCCCTATTTGCTACGGGTGAAGGTGTCTCTTCAATTTACACTCAGGGTCCTCACCTTGACTCCTGACCAGTCCTGAGAATTCACCGTCGGCCTACCGACGCTGCGCCCCTTAATCGGCGACTCGCAACTCGCCTCCTCGCCTCCTCACCTTCAAAGCGAAAGTGGTAAGTCACATCCGCCCGGGGTCAGCCCCCTCCCCATCACATACGTCACATCCGCCCGGGGCCCCGCCCTCCCCCACCGCCTGCCCCACCCTTCAAAGCGGAAGTGAGGATGAGCAACATCCGCTTGGCTCCTTGCCCTCATAATGGAAGTGAGGACGAACCACGTGTGCTGGAGTCCTCGCCTTCAAAGCGGAAGTCAGGATGAGCCACATTCGGCAGCCTGGGGCCTTTGAAGGGTGAAGGCAGGAGCATGATGCTATGGGAGGTCACTGTTCTTGTGTTGCTAATCTCTACGTACCCCCTAGAAGTCCTTACCTTAGTATCTAGCAGCCTGGGATGACTCCGCCTGCTGACCCAAATCTGCCAGTCTCCATACAATACCCCAACCTCCCTCAAACCCACGGTGGAAATCTGAGCATGCGATACAGGCCACCCCTGCCTGGGCCTCACAGGCCTGACAGCAGTGGCAGGACTCTGTGAACGTCCCTCTTTTGGGGAGAGGTCTTCCTCACTAGGACTCCCGCTCCTGCTCCGGCTCCGGTTTCCTCTCCAGGCAGAATTAGAGCGACTCCCCCTTCAGGGCCAGATGCTCTCCTCCCTGAGACCTTCCAGGCGGAAATGAGAGGCACCTTAGGCAGATAGCTCTGTCTGGTGCTTCAAAACGGGATGAACTCTGTGTGGTCTTGTCTGCTGGTGGAGTCCCCGCATAACACGTAAGAGTCCTACAGTGATTCTTGTTAGAGTCTCAACCTCTTCCCTCTGTGAAACTGACGCTGCCCCAAGTAGACGGAACCAGTCACCTCCCTGAGACTTTCCGGGCAGAAATCAACCTGCCATCCCCGCCTGGGGCTTTTTGTGAGGCCTCTTCTTAACCCTTAGTCCACATTCAGCCTCTCACCTTGACAAGTGAGCAAACCTATAACTCCACCCTTTATTTACCTGAACCTGCTCCTCTCACATAAAGGTCCTGTTTTCCTGAGAATTTGGAGTTGGAATTCTGGATGATCCTCATATGATCATAGTTCTTTTGCAACCTGCAAGAACAGATAGTAAGGACAGGCCTCAATAGAGCTCCACAGTTTTGCTCCTCGCCTTTACATGTATCAGAACCTGGGACTCCTCTGTTTACTGAACTGAGGTCACCCTCCTGAAGGGTCTAGATGAAACCTTACATTTTGAAATGGTTTTCACCCTACTATTCATTCATGAGGGTTCTCATGTTGGCTCCTGTCTCTTGATCAATGTCTTCCAGGGAAATGTCACATCTCTGCAAAAATTTGATCAATTTCCTCTTTGCAGAGCTTGCAGAGAAGAGGTCCCTGTCCCAGAAGTAATGTGACATTGGGAAACTGAAATGGAAGGTGGAGAGCCTAGGACAGATACTGTGCTCTCAGGGGAAAAAACATGCTGATCTGTTCTTTCACTTCACCAACCAAAGGGTATTTCTAAAAGACTTACTTTCTATAGAAAAGGGTGAAGCCAGATGATTTTGCAATCTTTCGATCTTTTGAAGCTATCTGATTTTGCTTCTGTTGATGATCATATTGTCACCGAGTATTATTTCTTTCTGTCTTTAACTTACATGTGTCAATTATTTTGGTATTATCCTTGCTCTGGTTTTGTATTCCAATCAGTGTTTGGGGCATAGACCTCTTCTTTGTTACCTGAGATACACTTTGGGTTAGCAGAAGAAAATGAATTAAGCAACTTGTGGTAAGCTTCAGTTTGGGAGGAGTGGAACAGTGTGGACTCTAGAGGAATTCAGATCAGCAGTCTAGTTTCAGCCCTATCACTTACTAGCTGTATGAACTTGGGCACATTACCAAACTCTATGAGCCTTAGGCTCTGCATCTGTGAAATGGGCTTGATAAGCCTTGTGATGTAGGACTGGTGGAATGTGGTTAACATGTGCAAAGCCCTGGAGTGCATTGAGACTTTAAACAATGCTTATTACTATGATTATTTCAACTACAGAAGAAATCATCTGTAGTTGATTCAGAAGAAATCTGCTGATTTTTTTTAAGCCCAAGTGATAACAAAGAATATACAACATTCTAAGACATGAAACTACAAATCAGCCCAAAATGCAGCTTACAAAGAAACTCTAAGTATCTTTTCCATACTGAATCATAGTTTGAGTGTGGAGTTGTCTTTCTCAGCTGAAAGCAACTGAAACCTTCTAGGGTTTGCTTCAAAGACCAACTCTAGCCTTTCATACAAACCACCCTTATATTCATTTATTTTACCATCACCAAAAATCTAGATGTCCCTTAAAACTTCCAAAACACATGAAAGAAAAGAAAAATGAATGCCCTTTTAATGGAATGGATTCTGGCTCCCCAGCTGATGGCAGAGTATTAGCCCAGTGGCATATGAGTTTCCAGTCTTAAAGGAGTAACACCTTTATTTCTCAGAAACACCCCGGGGACTATGTGCATAAAACACCTAATCTGTGTACTGGATTCACTTGCTCTGGGACAAGAGCACGGGCCATTTTCAATCCCTACCCCAGGCAAAGATTTCCTCTGTTTTTTTCCACAATTCCAAAGTAACTTTTAAGGGCAATTTTTCATTCCAGTCTCTAACTCTCAACTCTGAGATCCATCATCTGAGTGTGTGACCCCCCTGCTTGGTGCGCCCCATCTAGTCACTATGCAGCAACATAAAATTACCTCCTACTGCAGTATGTTCAGTTTCCCAGAGTCTCAATTACCTTGCTTAGGACATTTACACTAGATTCTTCCCCTAGAAACACCCCCACGTTCTTATATCCTCTTTTCAACTGTCTTTAGGTCTTAGGGACTATCTCATTACCTTCATTATGTGATAGCTGCTGTTGAATTCTAAAATTCTATGGACAGGGTTTTATTTTTTTTTAATTTTTATTTTTTTGCTTATCCAGTGCTAGCTAGGAGCCCTCTGAAGAGTAGCTGCTCAATTAATATTAGGACAATTAAAGTGCAAGTGAGCCGGAAGTCAAATGTATTGCTATTTAATTTCTCCCACATTCCTGAGAAAGCTAACCCAATCCAGATACATATACTTCAGTTTTACAAAGAAAGACTAAAAGGAATAAAAAAAAGCAAGAATTGACCACATTTTACTTTTTTTTCTCTATTTCATGATCCCACCAACTTTATTGCTAGGTAATTTCCTTTTCACAAATTCTGTATTCTAATGTCATATTGTCTTGTTCTAGATCACAGAAAAAGATTTAAAGATTTTAAATTGTTTTACATAATGCAAAAGTTCTTGTTCTTCAGCCTGACATATTTTAATAAATGAGTTTTTCATGCCATTCATAAACTTAGATTCTGAAACTAAATAATTCTACAATTAAAAGAAAGAACACTGAAAAACAGGAAAATGAAAAGATAAATCATTTTACATACAAATATATTATATATGATGTTCCCACCAACTCCTCTTTGGCCCTCTATTAATTAGAAGGTTAATATTTTCTTTAATTAAAAGTAAAGAATATACCTCAGACTTCACAAGGAGTGGATGACACTGTTGGACATCACACTGGAACATGCCAGGAGCAGTTGCAACACTGTCTCCCTCATCTCTCAAAGTCTTCTCTTAATAGAGGGAAGACAATGGGGACACTGTCATTGACCTTGGCCGAAGCCTCCACATTCTTAAATAATCTAAGCAAACCAGGTATGTAACTTTCAAATTTATGAACAACAAAAGACTAAAAGGAGTAAGATAAATCAAAAATAAAGCAACTTTTGCTTTTCTTCTCTTTCTGTCTTCAGATTCTTCTATTTTACTGTGGCGTTATTTTAAATTTCTAAAAATAACCTTACTCCAACGCCATGTTATTTTGCTCTGTATCACAAAAACGATTTTCAGATTTTCTATTTGTATTTCAAAAACCAAACTCTTATTACTAAACCAACCTGATAAACAGAAATAAGTGTGTGATGCATGCCATTTCTAAGCTTATATTCTGAATTTAAATAAACTTTCTATTTTAAGAAACATCACAGGAAAATTCAACAAAGAGATATATCACCGAGTTATTCATGCAGCACAGGAACAGCAGAAGGCAGCAGGTCTTTCAACTACAAATTGAACAATTTGCCTTAGATCTCACATGGGGTGGGAAGAGCTGCTGGATGTGTCCCTTGAATGTGCACTAGTCATGGCAGTAGTGCCACGCCTGGCTGCAACTCTGGGCCGGGCTTTGGCTTTCTCTTCTTCATCTCTCAAAGCCTCTTCATAAAGGAGTGGGAAGTTACTGGGGATGGTATCATTCACCTTGGCCAAAAACTCTAGGACTTTCATCTTGCTGGTTTCAGCATAGGCTCTTGGACCCCACAGGAATTGATAGCGTGGGGGATCACTGTTGGGCACCTGCTTGTACTCCAGATATTCTTCCTGCACCAGATCTTGGGAGATAAGCTTTCGGGCATCCCCAAAGATGATATGCCTCTTACCATCATAGATCCCCAAAACATTCAGGAATTCCCAGATTTCCTCTTCACTGGCACAGTTGCCACTTAAGAAGATCACACTCAGTAGAGGCATCAGAAGCCCATTCCTTGGATATTTCCAGGAACTGCTCTCGTTTCCATCGTTGGTGGGATTCAGCAAGCTGACAATGGTGTAGGAGTGACTGGTCGGGTTGACTTCCTTCAAGGAAAGGCCAAAGACCAGCTCCATGCGCTGAGAGGCTCTGCTGAAGATCTCAGGGAAGTGCTCCTTGTACTTTTTGCTGATGATCTTCAGCATTTCTGCCTTTGTAGTGGGCTCTTTCATTTTATACTTGTACAGCAGGAACTGCACCAACATCTTCGTCTTCCTGGTTATAGGATCTTTGATTGAGCTCTCAGTGGATGTTGAGGCCTGGAAGGAACTTGCCTTTTCCTCACCTTGGCTCTTGTCACTTTCATCAGATCCAGTGCATGACATAGCTGCAGCACCAGTGGTGGGTAGTGCTCTCTGAGGCCTCTGCAGAATGCCAGCAGCAGGGGAGCTGGAGGGAATATCCCCCAAAACAGATGAGGAAGAGGAATGAGACTCTTCTTTCTCTGCTGCAGTGGCCTGAGCAACCTTGGTATCCTGGGTCTGACCACGGGTCCGCTGGCGTTTCTCACGGGCACGGAGCTTACTCTTCTGACCTCGAGGCATGATAGCTGTGATTAGGCACAACAGGTAGGAGAGTAGCCAGAAGGGCAGGTGATATGGTGCCTGGAGAAGAGAGATTGAGATCCTGAGAACACCTTTAGTAGGCAGATACTACCTTGGCTTTTCAGAAACCGTCTCTGCAGGATTCCTTGAGAACACTGCTCTAAGTATTGACTGGGCTATTGTTCTTCGTCATTCTGTCCCCTGAGAACTCAGCTGAGGAAGTTACAATGTGCCTTAGGCTGCAGCTTGCCAACCCTGCTGGGGGCTGACTGGGTTCTCTCTGTGTTCTGGCTTGGAAAGGATCCACTCTGATTACTTTTAGAATTATCCTGTCAGCTCTTGGCAGGGCCTCAGCCTCCTTCTATTGGTGTTGTGAAGTAGAATCTTTAACTTTCTATGGGACCCAGATGAGGGAAATGTAGGGGCACCTCAACCCACCACCCCTGCTTCGAAGCATTTAGTGCTCTCTGTCCTGGGATCCTCAGGTCCCAAGTTTGCACTCAGTTTCCTCATCTGGACTCCATGCAGGGTTGTGGACTGTCTCTTCTGATGACTAATAACTGCGACTTCAGACCAAGAATTTCACCTTTTCTAGTTCTGACATAAAATGTGATGGGCATCTATGAAAAAAAAATTGATAATCTGGGCTTCACTAAATTATAACTTCTGATCTGGTAAAGATACCACAAAGAATAAGACAACTCCCAGATTGGGAAAAATTTATTTTCAAAAGACATATCTGATAAAAGATTGTTAACCAAAACATACAAAAAATTCTTAAAACTGAACAATAAGAATGGACCAACCCTATTAAAAATGGGCAAAAGATATAAATGAGCATCTCAACAATAATATATACAGAAAGTAAATACGTACATGAAGTGATGCACAACATCACATGTCATTAGGGACTTGCAAATTAAAGTAATGTGAAACCACTCCATACCTATAAGAATGGTCAAAATCAAAAACTCTGATAACCCCAACTACCGACGAGGATGTGGAGCAATAGGAGCACACTGTCATTGCTGGTGGACATGCGAAATGGTACAGCCACTTTGGAAGACAGTTTATAAATTTCTTACAAAACTATGTGTAGTCTTATCATATGATCTAGTAACTGCACTTCTTGTTATTTAGCCAAATGAGTTGAAAAGAATGTTCACAAAATAACCTGCACACAAACATTTATAGTAGCTTTATTTATAATTGCCTAAACTGGAAAGCAGCCAAGATGTCCTTCAGAAGGAGAGTGGGTAAATTAAGAGTATAAAATATTATTCAGTATTAAAAGGGAAAGAACTATCAAGCCACAAAGAGACATGGAGGAAACCTAACTACATATTACAAAGTGAAAGAAGCCAATGTGAAAAGGCAACACAATGCATAATTCCATCTATAGACATTCTGGAAAAGGCAAAAGTGTAGAAACAGTACAAAGTTGAGTGGTTTCCAAGGGTTGGGAAGAGTGAGAGATAAATACATGAGGCACAGAGAACTTTTAAGGCAGTAAAGCAATTCTGTCTTAAATTGATAAGGTGATAATGATGTGTCCCTGTATGCTCAATTGTAACAAGTGTATTACCCTGGGTTGGGAGGTTGATATGAGGGAGGCTGTGCCTGGGAGGACAGGATGCCTGTGGAACTCTCTGTGCTTTCTGCTCAGTTTTGCTGTGAACATTAAACTATTCTGAAAAAAGAAGGTCAAGTATTTAAAAAAAAGTGATGGTGAAGCCTCAGCCTCACATGTTGCCCTGGCAATTTAAGATTTATGCAGGGGGCTAGAGTCTGTTGTCCTCTCTATTTAGAGGTGAGCAGCCCCCTCAGCTCTCACTTGATTTCCTTTATTTGGCTCCTGGAAGATCCTGAGGCTCCCCTCCTTTTTGACCTCAAGACCTCTCTGTTTAAAAGGCCTGTACCTCCCTGAGATCTGATAGGAGGAGGAGAGGGTGGCCTTATCTGGCCATAACTGACTATGGTCTCCCAAGAGTGGCGGCTGTGGTAGCCAGGTTGAGGTCTTATGGTGGATCGTCCTACTCAGGTCCTAACTCAGGATCCTAAATCTGACTCACAGGAAGGCTTAATATTCCTCCCCCTGCTGAGCTGGGACTGCCCACCTCAGAACAAGACCTTCACTTCTCTGTTACTACTGATGATATAAGGGTGCCTCTGTCTGACATTCATGCCTGAATCTCTCAGAGATGACAATAGGGAGGATTCTGTGGGGTCTACACTGATAGGGGTTTGGTGGTTCCTGCACCCTTCAGGGTACTCACTTTACTCCTGGCACACCTTAGGAATCCTATCTCTATGGACCTGAGTCAGCTAGCCTGAGATAATGGTCTTTAACTTCTTAAGACCTCCGGAGTAGAAATTAGGTTCAGCTACATCCTGTCAAGACTATTGGGGTGAATGCTTCCCTCATTCTTTATTCAGGGTCCTCAACTTGGTACGTGTCAGAGAATGGGACTCCTCCCTCTACTGACCTGAGGTCCAAGAACTCACAAGTCCCTATGAACTTTGAAGAATAAGTGAGGAGATGCTCAGGCTAAGAAGTGTGTCTGGCATGTTGCTCTGCTCTGTCCTCCTATATGAGGGTCTTTTTCTTGGTTCTTGTCCCTTAATTAATGACTTCCTGGGAAATACCACATCCCTTAAAAGTCTTGACCAGTTTCCCTACAACAAATCTTGCAGACAATGCATCCCTGTCCCAGGAGTGATGTAAGATGGGGAAGCTGTAACACAAACAGAAGCCCCAGGATAGAAGTCATACTGTCAGAGAAACACATTGATCTATTTCTTCTCTTTACCAGTCTCTTATGTATTTCTCTTGGAAAGTATTTAACTTCCTTAAAAAATGGGGGGACTGACCAGAATGACAGAATGTGAGCCCATGATCCTTTGAGTTGATATGTATTTGATTATGCAATCATATTGTCATCAAATATTGTCTTTCTCTCCTTTATTCACACGTCTCAGTCATTTTGGTGATTTTGTTGCTTTGGTTCTGTATTCCAGTCCAGCAAATTGGGCACAGAATCTTATAACTTGATGTACATTTGGGAGCAGTGAGAAGAAAAGTGAGTAAGGGGACACAGTCAGTCTCAGGTTGTGAGGCATGAAGCAGAGTGTGCTTTACACTCATTCAGACTAGGGGTCTTGCCCCAGTCCTGTCACTTACCAGCCATGAAAAAATTAGGCACATTAACAGACTGTGGGCTTCAGACATTTTTTCTGTGAAGTGGGTTTGATAAACTCTGTTTTGTCGGACTGGTAAAATGTATACAATGTATATAAAGTATTTGAGATGCATTGAGACATAAAATAGTGCCAGTTCTTATTATGATTCATTTGTCCCCTGACATTGCCATCCACTCCACTGGGTCTTATTTTTCAGTGCAGGAGATGTCGGAGATTATACCATATTCTAGGACAAAGAAAGCCCTATCAGACAAAGTGCTACTTAGAAAGGAAAACTAATTAATATTTCCTTATTACTTGATAGATGACTCAATATTAGTATGAGGTAGACTTCCTGAGTAGGTGCAACACAGATTCTAAAATGTGTTTCAAGGACCAAAAACTTCCGTCTCTTTCAACTATCCTTCCATCTAAACCACTTTTATTTTCATTCATTTAACCACCTCTCAAAAACTAGACCTTGCTAGAGTATGTCGGATTACACACGAGGTAACCTAATTGAATGTGCTTTTCATGGAACAGGCTCTGGATCCTGCAGCCCAGGGCAAAGAGTGCCAGCGCAGTGGCTTCTGGGCCTCCCATCTCCCTTGAGGATATTACCCTTATTTATCAGAAAGTGTCTGGAGATGATGTGCACAAAACACCTAGTGTGTGCTGTGTTTATTTGTATTGGAACAAGAGCACAGGACACATTCCTGCTCCAGATTCCCCTGGTTTGGGATCCATGATCCCTAAGTAACTGTTAAGAACTGTTTCCCATTCCAAACTTCATCTTGCACCTCTGAGAGGCAACATCTGAGAACCTGGCCTCTGCTCACCATTCCCACAGTCTCATCCAGCCCACCATGCAGCCTCACTTCACTCCCATTGAGGGACCCGCACTTTCCTTAGGCCCCACACAGTCTTGATTAGATAATTTATACTTGACTGTTCTCACGTGGAACCACCTCTCTCCCTTCTTATCATGTATACTTTTGGTCTTAGAGTGCATATCACCACTTTCCTTAGGTGATAGCTGTTTAACTTTGTAATATTAAGGTCAGTTGCTAGGTCTTCTTTTTCTTAGCCCTCCCAGTAATAGCATGGATCCTTCCAAAAGCAGATGCTCAATTAATGCTTGAAGAACAAATGAGTGTGTGAGCATGAGGTCTAATTTATTATGATTTAATTCTATATTATTAAACAAGCCAGACATATATGGTTATTTATCTTTCATTTTATTAAAAGACAGAGCAAAGACACTTAGGAAACAAAATGTTGACCATCTTACTCTCTTTCTATATTTCTTAATCCCATACATTTTACTGCTTTTTAAGAAAAAATTTCAAGAAAATGCTTATTCTAATTCCAGGTTATTTTGCACCAGATCACTAAATAAGATGGAACTTTTCTCAATCTGTTTGACAAAATAGCAAAATTTTTACTGTTAAGCCAAAAAACAACAAATGTGACCAGTATGAATCCTAAACTTAGATTATAATGTTAAATAAAAGGAACATTTCAAAAATACTCCCCAAAATACAGATAAATCTTCAAATTATCCATTTAGAACAAGAACAAAAAGGTATTATACAGTGTGTTCCCTCCAGTAACACCCAGCCCTTCACTCCTCGGAACAGTGACTGCCCTTTTTAACCACAAGATGAAAAATTTGCTTCAACTTCACTAGGCGTGGGACGAGCTGCTAGCCTTGGCCTTGGAACATTTTCTGCCCATGGCATCACTGCCATCATTGAATGTAGCTGCAGCTAGGGCTCTTTCTTGCTCATCTCTCAAAGCCTCTTCATACCAGAACTGGAATGCACTGGGGACAGTTTGATTGACCTTGGCCCAAAACTCCAGGACTTTCAACTTGCTGGTTTCAGCATGGGCTCTTGGACCCCACAGGAATTCATAGCGTGCAGGATTAGTGTTGGGCACTTGTCGGTACTCCAGGTATTTAAGCTTCACCAAATCTTGGGTGATGAGCTTTCTGGGCTCCCCAAATATGAAGTGTTTCTTCCCATCATATATTCTCATCTTATTCAGGAATTCCCAGATATTCTCCTCAGTGGCACAGTTGCCCTTCATGAAGATCACACCCAGAAGATTCAGCAGGAGACCTGTCTTGGGAAACCCCCTGCCACGAGTCACCTTCCCATTGTTGGGGAGATCCATTTTGCTAACAAGGATATAGGAGTTCTTGCTAGAATCAATTTCTTTTAAGTCAACACCAAATACCACCTCCATGTTGAAAGAAGCTTTTCTAAGGATCTCAGGGAAGCGATTTTCATACCTTTTATGGAAAATTTTTAGCATATCTGCTTTCATAATGGGCCTTTTCCTTTTGTACATTTCCATCAAGAAGTGCACCAACATATTTGTCTTCGTGGTTAGAAGATCTGTGTGAGACCGCACAGTGGAGGATAGGCCCCGAGAGGAGCCGTGCTTTTTCTCAATTTTGCTGTTGGCTCCCTTGCATGACTTTTTGTGAGAAACATCTACCGATATGGTGGTGGATAGTGCTCTCCGAGGCTTCTTGAGAATGCTACTTGACCTTCCAGCAGACTTTTTCTGGATAGTAGCCCCCAAAACAAGAGGGGATGAAAAGGATACTTTTTTCCACTTAGTTGCAGTGGCCTGAGCACCCTGGCGACCCTGGGTCTGACCACGGGTCTGTTGGCGTTTCTCAGGTGCATGGAGCGAATTCTTCTGACCCCGAGGCATGATGGCTATGGTCAAGAACAGCAGGCAGGAGTGTCAGCAGAAGAGCAGGTGATATAGGCACCTGGAGGGGGGAGAGAGAGAAAGAGAAAAAGAAATCAGCACCTTCAGCAGAGAGGTTCCACTTTGGATTTAAAAGAAGGCCACCTCTGCAGGTTTCTATGAGAGCACTGCTCTAGAAACCCGGAGGGTTTCTGTTCTGATCAGTTTGTCCTCTGAGAACCCTGTGAAAGTAATTAAAGTGTGCCTTAGGCAGCAGCCTCCCAGCTCTGTTCTGTGTATACTGGGGCTGAGAGGAGCCACAGCAGGTCTAGCTCTTGTGGATCTCCTTTTACTCTGGGGTAGGTTTCTCTCAGCTCACATTCAGGACCATCCTAAAAACTGTCAGGGTCTGAGTCCCCTCTGTGCTGCACTAAATTTGACACCTCCAGCAAATGTCCTCATCTCCTTGGGACCACGCCGACGGGAGGAACTAGGTGCTAGGAGCATTATGGAAACCTACTCTTTCCTGGGCTTATTGGGGTCCTCACCTTGTCTCTGCATAATACCTAGACAGTTCCCTCTGCTGATCTGATGCCCCTCACTTTAGACAAAGGCCCTCAGCAACCTAATGCTATGAAAAAGAAAGGTGAGTTCACATACACCAGACCTTGATGCTCAGCCACCTCCGGGATGCAAGTGGGGAGTAGGGGACTCTTTGTTGTCCCTTCTTTATGTGAGAAGAGTGGTATCACTAGTCCTCATTCAGGGTCCTCACTGTGACTCCTGTAAGGCTCTGGATCTCCTCCCTTTTCCCTCTGCAGCACCGGGGCACATAATTAGTTCCACCTTTCTGTCACTCTCTAGGCAGTAAGGAAGCATCTCAGCCTGATGTTATTCCAAGGCTTCCTGGAGCTGAGAGAAGAGGGATAATCTGTGGGACTCTACTTTTTAGAGGCAGTGTTCCCTTTAGTTTTCTATTAGGTCTCTGACCTTGACTCCTAGTAGGTCATGGGACACTTCCCTCCATTAACCTAAGTCCTCCAGCCTCAGAACAAGGCCCTGGACAGGGAAGTTGGGACCCCCCCACCACCTATGAATACCTTTGCCTGGAGCTTGCAAACTGAGTGCAGGGACATTGTGTTGCCACCTCTATTGCAGAGATTTCCTTCATTATCACTCAGGGCCCTCACCTTGACTCTCTTCCACTTGCTGAATTGGGGCTACTTTCTTAAACCAAGGCCCTTCCCTCCCTGAGACTTTCCAGGTAGATAGATGTCAGACAGCCTTCAAGGTCTTCCCAGGGAAGACCTCAGGGGCAGGATTTAGTGTGGTCCTCTTAGTTTTAGGTTGGGGGATGGTAGTCTGTTTTGTCCACATTCAGGGTCCTGACCATGACTCCAGAAGAGTTCTAAGAATTCACCTTCTGCCAACAGGATGCTGTGCCCCTCACCTCCAGATCCTCCCCTTCAAAGCACTTCCAAGAAAGTGAGGACAAGCCTTATCTGTTAACAACTTCCCAGGGACTGATGGCTGACAACAGGGGTGGAACTCGATGGGACTCCACTGTTTTGGAGTCGCTGGTCCCTAGATTCTCATTCAGGGTCTTCACCTTGGTACCTTATCACAGCCTGAAATTTCTCCCTCTACTGACCTAAATTCACCAACCTCCAAACAAAACCCTCACCTCCCTGAACCCTTCCCTTCCTGGATGGGGAAGTCAGGGCCCCCGCTTATGACTACCCCTGTCTGGAGGCTTCTAAACTGGCTAGCAGCAGTGAGACTCTGTCTGAAAAACAAATCAATAAATAAAAACAAGGACCACTGGTGCTAAGCAGTGGGATGCTAACCCATAGGGCCGCTGCTGCTTTCTGTTTACACCCTTCTGGGAAGAGATCCCCTCCTTTAGCGCTCACACTTCACCTTGGCTCCAGTTAAGGTCCAGGTACCCTCCAACTGAATAACTGTGGCTGCTGCCTTAGTCCAAGATGCTCCCTCTGTGAGACTTTCCAGACAGAACTCAATCAGGACCTCCCAGGGTCAACCACAAGGGTGAGACTTTGTGGGTCCTCCTTCATAATGGGCAAGGAGTGGTCCCTTCAGTCCCTGCTCAGGGTTCTTACTTTTACTCCAGATCAGTTCTAAGAATTCATGCTAGGCTGTGGACCCAAATGAAGCTACTGCATCTGTCAGGCCAATAGCTTCACTGTCAAAGTGGAAGTGAGGATGAGCCACATCTCACTGAGGGTCTCCAAGGGCTGACAGCAGGAGGTGAGACTCTGGGACCCTGCTGTTCTGGAGTCAGTGGTCCCTAGGTCCTTATTCAGGGTTCTCACTTTGATACTAGTGTCGCAGAGTAATTCTTCTACTGAGCAAAGTCCACCAAACTCCAAAGGTCTCCCCTCCCATAGTCCTTAGAGGGGAAGCCTAGGCATGTTATCAGGCCATGACCAGGGGCCTCCCAGACCTAAAAACAGGGTTAGTGAGACTGTTTGGTGGGCCCCTCTTTTGGAGAAAGGTTCCCTGGTTAGCACCAATGGTCCTCACTTTTTTTTTGAGACTGGGCCTTACTCTGTCTCCCAGTCTGGCATGTAGTGGGGCAATCTCAGCTCACTGCAACCTCCATCCCCTGGTCCATGAACTCCTGGGCTCAAGTGATGCTGCCGACTTTAGCCTCCCAAAATGCTGGGATTACAAGCATGAGCCAGAGCCCTGCCTTAAAAAAAATTGTTTATTATTTATTTTGAGAAAGTGTCTTGGTTTGTTGCCCAGGCTGGAGCATAGTGGCTCGATCTCGGCTCACTGCAGCCTCCACCACGAGGGCTTAAGCTATCTCCCCACCTCAATCTCCTGGGTAGCTGGGACTACAGGGGTACACCACTGCTGTTCAGCTATTTTTTTTTAGAGGGAGTCTCGCTCTATCTCCAGGCTGGATTGCAGTGGCTCGATATCTGCTCACTGCAACCTCCACCTCCTGGGTCCAGGTGATTCTCCTGCCTCAGCCTCCCAAGTAGCTGGGCCTACAGGTGCGTGCCACCATGCCTGGCTAATTTTTGTATTTTTAGTAGAGACGGGAGTTTCGCCATATTGGTCAGAATGGTCTTGAACTTCTGACCTCGTGATCCACCCACCTGGCCTCCCAAAATGCTGGAATTACAGGCGTGAGCCACCGCGCCTGGCCCTTTTTTAATTTTTGTATTTTTTCTGTACAGTTTTTTGCCATGCTGCCCCGGCTGGTTTTGAATTCCTGGTCTCAAGCAATCTACTCGCCTCAGTCTCCCAATGTGCTTGGATTACAGGTGTGAGACACCACACTTAGCTTCGTCTTAATCTTGACTGTAATTAGGGCCAAGACACCTCTGAAGAACTGAAGCTTCCCTATTAGACAAAGCCCTCCCATCCCTGAGACCCTCAGGCTGAAATGAGAGGCATGGAAATTTTATAGTTCTGCCTGGGGCTTTCCAGGGTTAAAAACATGGATTGGGCTTCATGAAGTTCCCTCATTTGTGGGTTTAGTTTTTCCTTTTATACTTACTCAAGAATCTTACTTCACTGCTGGCCAGTTCTGGAACTCCACCTTCTATGCCATGAATTCTGCTCAGATCAAGGTCCTCTGAGATCTAGGCTGAAGTTTGGATGAGCCACGTTAGGCCAGGGATGTTTGGGTCCTGTGAGGGCAGACAACAGAGTCGGGTTTCTATGGGGCATCACTGTTCTGTCTCCTCCTGTTCTTCATTCAAGGTCCTCCATGATATCTGCCAGACCTTGGGATCATCCCTCTACTTAACTGAGGTCACCTTAGGTCAGAACTCTCACTTTGCTGAGAACTCTGAAGGGTAAAAGAGAGGACACTTGGTGTGACTGCACTGCCTGGGACATTCTAGGCCTGAGAACAGGTTTGGGTAGATCGCTGAATGACCCTCTATTTTTTGGTGTGATGGTCTTTCCAGTATTTATTCATGAGTGTCCTCCTTATTTACTCTTGTCTCTCGGATTAAAGGCTTCCTGGGAAATGCCACATCACTGCAAACCTTGCAAGTCTGTGCCCCAGAGCTAATGTGAGATAAGGAAAGTGTAAGACAAAGCAGGGAGTCCAGAGTATGCGGTGGGTTGTCAGAGAAAAATGATACTGATTTATTCTTTTCAATAGCCAGCATTAGCCTCTTATGTGACTTCTGTTTTAATTAATTTACTTCTTAATGGAAAGGAGCTATTCAGGATGACTGTGTGGGCCTTTATTTTCAGGTTATCTGACTGTGCATATGTAGATGATCATATTGTCACTGAATAATATCTTTCTCCTCTTTATTCATAGCTTTCATTTATTTTAATATTCTTAATTACTCTGGCTATGTATTCCAATCCAATCCTTCTTTTTAACCCCTGAGATGCATTTGGGAGTATTGAGGAGAAAAGTGAATTATGGAATACAAAGTCTGCTCCGGGCAGAGAGGAACAGAATGAAGAATGTGGGCTCTAGAAGAATTCAGAACAGGAGTCTAGTCCCAGCCCTGTCACTTACTCACCCTGTGAACTTAAGCATATTACCGAACTCCAAACAAAGAAATTGTAATCCAACAAAATGATGCTTTTCAGGAAAATTATGTAATTTATAAAGTGTTTGTGGAACAGCCTTCTCCAATTAGATACAACTCAAGTCTCAAAATTTTTGTTAATGACCAATATTTTTTTCTAAATCCTAGATAACCTTCCATGTTAACCACCACTGTTTTGATTTTTCTTTTTTCTTTTTTGAAATGGAGTCTCACTCTGTGACCCAAGTTGGAGTGCAGAGGCACAATCTTGGCTCACTGCATCCTCTGCCTCTGGGTTCAAGTGATTCTCCTGCCTCAGTCTCCCTAGTATCTGGGATTACAGGTGCCCACCACCATGCCCAGCTAATTTTTGTATTTTTTGTAGAAATGGCATTTCATTATGTTGGCTAGGCTGGTCTCAAACTCCTCATCTGAAGTGATCCACCCACCTCACCTCCCAAAGTGCTGGGATTACAGGCATGAGTCACTATGTCTGGCCACACCCCTGTTGAATGCGCTTTTAATAGTGCAGGCTCCTAATTCCCCAACCTAGAACAAAGAGTGCCAGCATAGTGGCTTCTGGGCATCTTACCTCCCTTGAAGCTATCATCTCCCTTATTTCTCAGAAACTAACTGGAGATGATGTACATAGAACACCTAGGTTGTGCACTGTATTAGACTGTGCTGGGATAGGAATGTAGAACTCTTTTCACTTCTGTCCTAGGTAGAGATACTATCTGGTTTTCCCACAACAGGAAAGTAAATGTTAGGGACAGTTTCCCATTCCAGGCTTAGTCTCTCAACACTGAAATGCACCAACTGTATAAAGCACCTAGTTTGTGCACTGTGACGGTGTTCTCCTGCACTGGGACAAGAGCACAAGACACGTTCCATCCCTGCCCCAGGTGCAGATTCTCTCTGGTTTCTCCATGACCACAAAGTAACTGTTAAGAACTACTTCCCATTCCAGGTTTTGTCTCACACCTCTGAGAGGCACCATCTGAGGGCCTGGCCCCTCCCATAGCCTCATCAGCCTCTACCAAGTAGTTTCTCTTAAAATCACCTACCACTAGGGGACTTGAGGTTTCTTAACACTCTAAACTGCCTTGCCTCAGGTCATTTACACTTGATTGCTCTCATCTCAAACTTCCTCTTTTCCTCATTCCTCCTTTGTACTTGTTCTTTAAGTCCTAGAGAGTACCTCATCATCTTTTTTTTTTAATGACAGCTGCTCCTAGACTCTAAAATTAAATGGGCAAGAAATTGATTTGTTTTGGGGCAAACATTCACAGTGCTTACATGAAGTCTTCCAAAGAGCTGATGCTCAATTAACGATTAAGGAATAAACAAGAGAGTGTGAAATCCAATAAATTAGGATTTAATCTCTTCTACATTCTTTACTAATCTAAGCAAATCAAGATATATAACTCTTAATTTTATAAGAAGAAAGACTAAAAATCTAGTAAACCAATAATAGACAACCTTAACAAATTTTTTTTGATCTAAATAATTTTTAACACAGTGTTCATTCATGTTTCCAAGATAATCACTACCCAAGAAAAATCACTATTTGCATGACATTTCTCCAAAGAAGGCATAAAAATGTCCAATAGATGTACAAAGATGTGCTCAACATCACTAACCATCAGGGAAATGCAAATCAAAACCACGTGAGATATCACCTCATATGAAAGGCTATTAGAAAAAGAAAAAGAAAAAAAAAACCAACCAAACAAAAACCCACTGGAGATGAGTGTCGGCAAGAGTGTAGAGAAAATGGAACCCTTATACTCTATTGGTGGGAATGCAAATTGGTACAGCCATTATGGAATACAGTATCAGCTTTTTAAAAAAATTGAAAATGGACTACCATGTGATCCAGCAATCCCTCGTCTGGCCGTAAGGAAATGAAATCATCACCTCATATAGATATCTGTGCTCCCATGTTCACTGCAGTAATATCCTCAATGACCAAGATGTGGAAACAACCAAAGTGTTTGTCAGCAGATGAATGGATAAAGGATCGTGGTATACACGTATGATGAAACAGAAAACCAAATACTGCATGTTCTTTGTGGGAGTTAAACATTGAGTACACATGGACACAAAGGGAACAACAGCTACTAGGGTCTACTTGAAGGTGGAGGGTGGGAGGTGGGTGAGGGTAGAAAAACTGTCTATTGTGTACTATGCTTATTACCTGGGTGATGAAATAATCTCTACACCAAACCCCCACAACATGCAATTTACCTATATAACAACCTGCACATATACCCCTGAAATGAAGATAGGATTTAAAAAAAATGTTATTTAGCCTTGAAAAGAAAGAGATTCTGCCATTGTAACAACACAGATGAACTTGGGGGACATTATGCTGAGTGAAATAAACCAGACACAGAAAGAAAAATGCTTCATGCTATTAATATCTGTTATATGTAGGGTCTAAAAAGAAAAAAAAGTTAAATACATAGCCAAAGAGAATAAAACAATGGATACCACAGGCAGGGTGGGGAGACGATGCAGAGATGTGTGTCAGACAGTTCAAAGTTGCAGCTTTGTAGGATGAATAAATCTAGAGATCTACGCGCCATTGCACTCCAGCCTGGGTAACAGGAGTGAAACTCCGTCACACACACAAAAAAATCTAGACATCTAAAGTACAGTATGGTGACTATAGTTAATAATATTGTATTGCAAACTGCAAATTTTCTAAGAGTAGATTTTAGGTGCTCTTACCACAAAACAAGGTAACTATGTGATACAATGGATATATTAAATTGCTTACCTGTAGTAAGCATTTCACTATGTACTGTAATGCATTGCTTAACAACGAGGATACTTTCTGAGAAACGTGTTGTTAGGCAATTTCAAAGTTATGCAAACATAATAGAGTATACTTATACAAACCTAGGTGGTATAGCCTACTGCACACATAGGCTATTCGATATAGCCTATTGTTCCTAGGTTATGAACCTGTATAGCATGTGACTGTACTGAATACTGTAGGCAAATATAACATGGTGCTAAGTATTTGTGTACCTAAACATAGACAAGGTACAGTAAAAAATAGGGTATAAAACATGGTTAAAAATCATACACCTGTGTAGGGTATTTACCACTAATGTAGCTTGCAGAACTGGAAGTTGCCTTGAGTGACCCAGTGATTGAATAGTGAGTAAAT